CCCCGCACTAAGTTGCAAAACTGAGTCAGGATGCCAACATGCAGGGACAGGACTGTGGGTGACAGGCTGGGAATGTCCCCAGGCTACTCTCAGGCTTCAGGGCTCTAGTTTCTATGGAAGGCAGCACAAACCTGGTGTAGACTCAACCATTTCCCACTCAGTGGTGGGGCTGATGCTGGCTTAGCTTTCCTGCCTTGCACTGCATATCATAGGTCCTGCTGCTTTGGGTTTAGATGGATGGAGAAGCACAGTGCAAAACACCAGGAAGAACACAGCCCCAGGCTCCCCTGGAGGTTGGCGTTCAACTGAAAATAACTTGCATACCGTCTTACAGGGACAAGATGTACAGAGCTCGGGAGGTCTCCCAGGCTTGGGGAGCAGAGCTCACCACCACCAGCAGCAAATGCGTTTTCTGCTGCACTAGATTGGAGCCTGAGCCTCCGATGGGAGGGAGACTGCTGGCTGTTAGCCACGCTAGGAGATGTGCCAACTGGCTCCTGCAATGGGGAACTCCTTATCTCTCTAGTAGGAGAGGAGGCACAGCCTTCTCCTCAGAGACCAGGGAGTTCTAGGCCAGTGGGTGCCTCAGCCTGCCTCCTCCTTCACTGCAGCCCCAGGAGGACAGCCAGTGCTCTGGGGCAAGGTCACTCCACTGTAGCACTGAGAGCTGTAGAAAGAACTGGGTAGGCCTAGAAGTGTTCTTGGGGAATAGCCAGAACGAAAATCAAGTAAATTTTACAACTGGTCCTGGCTAGGAAAAAAAACCCTGTGAAAGAGGGATGCAGGAAGGGAGGATGGGGGGTCAAAAATGCTGAACAAGGTTCTGGCAACTCGACTTGTGCTCCTTGGGGAGGAATGTTTTTCAGGGACTAAAGAAAGTCCCTTTCCAGCTCAGTGGCTGTGTGTCCTGATGCTAACCTGATCAGCAAGAAGCATGAGATGACAGGTGAGAGCCTCAGCTGGTCCCAATAGACAAATCTCCAAAATTTGGCCCCCATTAGCTTAAAAAGACCCCAGGCCAAGTTTGGTCAGGGCTGATACAGCTTGTAGCAGGTCATTCTTGACACTGCTCTGCCCTGTTACTGGAAACCCGAGGGTGAGAGGAGCTCTGGCCAAAGCTGGATGGAGAGGAGTGGGAAGGACCCCCTCCCTCCCTGGGTTTAGTAGAATCAGGGACAGAGATCAAAGAGATTTCTCTTACCTTGGGGCCCGTCATCAGGAAATTATTCACTGACCTGGAAGGCAGAGGCAGTGTCAGCAGGGAGGGGATGATGGTGGAGGGGCCTGGGGAATGCCTGGCATCCTCCTCTTCTCGCCCCCCCGCAGCCTGCCTGTCTCCTGGTTGCCGGCACCTTTGGTCTCTTCCAGTCTCCCCTTGCTGTTCCCTGCAAGCCAGGGTGGTGCCCTCTTCCTTCCCCCCACCCAGGCTGTACTGGGCAGCAACCCTCTCACCGCTCCCTCCTTTTGCTTTCACAGCTGCCCTTCATACTGATCTCCCCATTTTTTTTAGTGCTTTCCCTTTCACCCAGCCTTACTCTTTACCTCAGTAAACTGCTGCTCGGCTTAATTCAGAGTGGTGTTGCCCCCAGCCCCAGGAGCGGGACCATGTGCCAGCACTGCTCTCCCTGCAGGACCGTGCTGAGG